AAAATTAAAATCAATAGATAAAATTTCTTTTTCGTGCAAATCCATAAAAAGTTTGATATTAAAATTATATTATACGATTATATTATAAAATTAAATTATAATATTCTTCCGAATTTAAAAATAAATTAATATCCATAACTTTCAAATTTAAAAATAATTAAATAAGTAACAAAAATTTTGCAAAAACATTAAAGAACATAAGAATACTATTCAATAAAATTTTAGGTTACTTTGAATTTTCGATTTCCTAGAAATGTACTTTTAAATACTAGTTACTTTTTTTGTTTAGTACTTGTACTTTTTACTAGTTGCTTTTTAAAATAAGAACTTTTTACTTTTTACTCGTTACTTTTTTTAAAAATACTTGTACTTTTACTCGTTACTTTTTGAAAGTAACGTTGCCATATATGCTTATGACCTCTGCGTCAGCTGATCGTTTATAAACAAGATGGCGTGTGAAAGTCAATGTTTCTCCACATAAGTTAGAGTGTTAATTAACGAAGTTAATTAAATACACTGCCGTATCGCACATCAAATGTGTTAAAATAGAATTCTTTCTCGTCTACGTCTTTTACTTAACTCAGATTTATTATTTGTTTATGTATTTTATTGTAACAGTGAGATATTTTTGTTTTGTGTACCTGGCAACTTCGATTCATAATTAGTTTGTTTATGTTCCTCATGGGCTCCTGTCTGTCTTTGCGTTACGTAAGAAATTTATAATGGAAGAATTGAAATCTTTGTGAAAGAATATAGAATGTGCCACTTAAAATAATTGATACTTGACAAGTTTGGCTATTTTATACATAGAATGGAAAGAACAGTTGATAACGTAAACAAATGCCACGCTTCAACAACTAATCAGAATCGAAATACCCGCACGACATCACTTACAGGTATTCCGTTGTTCAATTCTTTATGAAGTTTGTTACACAAAACTAACAATAAGTCGTATTTTATTTAAATGAGAAAACAGTTTCGAAGATGTGTCATTTATTCATGTAATCGTTCAAAAAATAGCATTTTTTTTCAAAGGATTAATCTTATTTTTATATATCATTAAAAAAAACCTTTCCACGTTAAAAAAAAAAATTTCCATGGGGTTGTACAAAAAATAAATAAAAAATTCGTGGCGAAAAAAAACGATGTTTTGTTTTTAAACAAAATTGGAAAATAGAAAACGATATCGAAAATGCTCAATTTATGTAATTAGTCATAGCACAGTATCATTATAATTATTTTTTACTACTAAGAATTATCTTTTCAATAAAATAAGACTTACCATATCATTTCAAAAATACGTCATTTGCATAATATTTCAAAAATTGTGTTCTTTTTCTTACTTCAAAGAATTGCCTTTCAAATAAAATAAGATCTGTAGTATCAAACCTTTTTCAGGTAACAAACTTATTTACAACAGCTGTTTGAAAAGTGTACAAAATTTAAAAGTCATTTTTAACAAATTTATAAAAATAAAAAAAAATACGAATGCATAGTTACCATAAGATCAAACATAAAAGAAAAACAAAAATAGATTTATCTAAGTCTTATGGCGCGAAGACGAACATTTCATAAGTAGTATGAAATATGTCTTAAAACTAATACTTCATAAGTCTTATAAAGAGCCAGTCTTAAGGCACCACGGAGTATTTTAATTAATATTTAGTTTTGTATCCTATGGATTATCTTCTCCATGACAAAAACATTCAGTTATAGCTTATGTTTTTCATTCAGCTTCTATTTTTGTTTCAGACAAATTTTCTTTTTATATACAACTTTCTAATAAATCCTTCTTTTTCGTCTTTTTTTTAAAAAATATCTGCAAATTTTACAAAGTAAAATTGTGCAAAAGTGAATCACATTCTTACAATTAGCCAATAACGATGAAGAGACAGTAAGCAAACACAATCAACATAAAATTAAACAAATATATATCTATTTAAATTAGATGCATATTCAATTATGTTGAAATCAAATGCTCAAAAATTAATGAAGTTATTCAGAAACATAATTTAAGTTCGAAGCTATAAAATAATTTTATTTAATTTCATTTTTATTTCATATTATATCCTTATTGGAAAACTAATTGAAACTTATAATAGTTAATAAATGATAGGAATATTAATATCAATTTCTCAAAAAAAAAGAAAAGAAAAAAAAATAAAGAAAAAACACCAAAAAAAATTACGTGGTGGGTCCAAATTATGTATTATTTAAAATCTTAATGTTTGGAAGGAATAATTTTATAGTTCTTAAGTACATGTGTCGAATGATGTGATAAATGATTATAAATTATTCCGTTTTCATTGTATTCACTATTTTGTAATTATCCTGATATTAAACCATTTTTGTTATTCGTGCATTTGTATTGTATTTGTCACAAATTGATGAATCCTTTGTAATTTGATTCAAAAATAAAGCTTTCATGGTCTCTTATTCAATTATTTTAAAAAATTCTCTTTTTAAAGTTTTTGATAAACTGATTCTTACAAACGAAATACAATTGCAAATATGCAGCGAGTTCTGTAGTGAACACACTTAATGCAGTCATGCATGTCTATCTCAAATCCTAAAACTTTAGAAAATAAAGTTTCGAGTCATACAGCCTCAGAAATGTAACTTTCACTTTTGACGATTCAGTGATCCTTCAGCAGCATTTCGTTAATCTTGAGAATCATTTCGTCACAATATCATGTGACGAAATCATTCAATTCACGAAAGCCGAACTTTTAAATATATGACGAAAATATTTCTTTCGCTTTGAAACCTCATCGTAAGTGCATTGTGGGAAAATGACGAAACTAAAATAAGGTATGAAGGTACTTAATTTACGTCGCACTACAGCTTACACAATGGGCTATTACGACGGTCTGGGAATCATGGCTGAGAAGACATGTCCTCACAATTTTGATCCTCTGCAGGGGGGATGGCTCCTCTGCTTTATTATCTCGACGACCTGCGCATTAAGTCGAGAACTTTACGGTAGATTTTAACGAGAACCGATACCGCGTACCCTCGGTCCCTACGCAGGCTAATCGAAGTGGCCACCCACCCGCTTACTGACAGCAGCTAGTGATGCTTGACTACGGTGTTCTACTGGGAACCGTGTCTTTACAATCAGTCTACTGCGGGACCAAAACTAGAATAAAGACTAAGACACTCTAAAATAAAGTGCTGGCTTAAACCGGCCGTTTTGCATGCCGGTCAAGGTGTTGGCCTCCTACGAGTAAGATCCGGAGTTTGAATCCCGCTTCGGGCATGGGTGTAATTTATATCTCTGCTATATCTGTCTTTGTTGTACTAATGTCCGCCAGGCACTGCGAAAACCTTCAGGCTGATGAGGCAAACGCTAAGTGGAACGCTATGAGGCTATGAGGAAACGCTATGAGGCTAAGTGGAAATACGAAAGAGGGAATCTCTTCCAATCTCTTTCAGCATCTCTTCCAAGCATTCCTTGGAACCGGACGGGGAGATTTACGTACCGGACTGGACCGTTACCGGACGGAGAATGAAAGTTTCGATTGTCTTTTATTGTTGCTTCAATCAAATGTGCTAGCCCTATTAATTTCGATAAAAACATTCAACAAGATAACATACCCTAGACACAGATGAAATGCCGAGGATCAGGTTCTCTTAAACGGCGCCATTTTATATTATGGCAAGATAGTGAGGTTGGAGGTGTAGATTTTATAATAGAAGTAGATAACATAATATTTATCAGAATAAAACTTTTATTCAGCAGTAGTTAGTAAAGCTAGAGATACAAAATTAAAATGATATTTCATCCAAATGACTTTTTAAGAGAAATAATAAATTTTGCATAATAATTTCATTAAAGACTAGCCAGAGATAAATCCCCCATGACCTGCCTACTCAAAAGCCATATTAAAAGTGGTTAATCAACATTTAGTAATACATTAGAGATACATTATTGGCGCATTATCGAAAGAAAGACACAGCGAAAAGAAAAGCCAATTCATCCAGCCTCACGATATCTCATGCTAATATTTAAATAATTCGGCTACAACTTAAACACTAAGAAGACCGTGGGAAATTTATATAACCCTGTAACTGATAAATTTTTATGGTTAGAAAAATAAACTATCTTAAGGAATAAAGAGTTCGAAACAGATTTTGTACGATTAAGTCACGACAGTGAATTAATGAGTTATAATTAATGAATTAAAAGGTTAGCCGTTACATTGATTGTTAAGAGAAAAGAAGAGAAATAAATATTTATATTTGCTTTTTTATAAAATGTAATAAAACTAAATAATTGGTTTATGTTAATTAAAATTAGATTAATAATGATTAAAAAATTTAATTTATGAAGTTAAAGAAATTTTAAAAATTAGGAAATATGTAATGCTTATAATTGTATCAAAGTGGTAATAGGTTTTAACAATCCTCCGAAAAGTACCCTAATATCACCATACTACACATTAATA